ATTTGTGAATGTATCTACCTCACCAGCTTTATAAATAGGAATTATTTTAGCTATTTTTAGCTTATCTGGGAATAACCGTGCCTCAAGTGAAGAATTAATTACCAGTATTAATGGTTCAGATATTAATTCAAACGATTTTTTTATGATATGTATAGGTAGGTTGTCGTAGCCAGGTGCTTTTCCATTTTTAAACGACATACATATCTCTCTCAGTTCATTAACAGTTGTAGGTTTAAGGAATATGGTTTCACTAATAGTAGGGCCTAAAAACTCATGAAATGAACGATTTATTGGGGGAATCTTACGCGCAAGGGATGGGCCAATTTCAGAAAAATATTTACAAAAATCATTGGCAATTTTAGAGGGTTCATTGATAGTCATGTTATTTGATCGAAAAGATGACGGTAGTGAGGGCTTTTTACGTTTTAGGTTAGTGACTTCATTTATTAATTTCCATGTTGTTTTCAAATCACTTTTAGCTAATTCAAATTTTTTATCATAGTAAGTTTTCTTTGATATTCTAATTAGGTGATTCAATTTATTTTTGTATCTCTTATATTGAGAGTCACGTACAGGGGTAGGGTTTGCGAGATATTTTTTGTATAATTTATTCTTTTTTTTAACGGAAGTCAGCAAACCTTTAGTAATCCATGGTGATTTTGATTTCCTACAAGAATTCAACTTAGATATTTTTAAGGGAAAACAATCCTCAAAATGCCTATAATATTCTTCGGCAAAAACATCGTAAAGTCTATTTGGATCCTGCCCTATCAAGACTCGAGTCCATTCGACCTGTGATAATTTAGTTTGAAACTTGATAATATTTAAATCATTGTAATCCCGAGTATAATATGTGGTTTCATTATTTGGTTTCTCAAATTTAGTACTAGATAATGCAAACACAGGTAGGTGGTCCGACAAGTCGTTCAGAATAATTCCATTTACAATATTTTGTGTAAAACAATTCGTAAATATGTTATCAATTAGTGTTGCTGAATGAGAAGTTAGCCGCGTTGGCTTATTAATAAGAGGAATAAACATATGTGAAAATAATGAGTCTATAAATTCTTGTGTATACGCATGATGATCACAATGAAGTAAGTCCAAATTAAAATCTCCCATTATGTAGCATTGTTTGTTGTCTTTGGAAATAATAGAAAGGATTTTATTAAAGTCTTCGATAAATGAGACAAGGTTTTGGTTGGGTGGGCGGTAAACAGTTCCTACAATAATGTTTTTCCCAAGAGGGTTTGAAATTTCAACAAACAGAGACTCAATTACTTCAGGATTAGAAATATTACAGTCTTGAATTAATTTGTACTGAAAATAATCACCTAGATAAAGACCTACACCACCGCCTGTTTTACCTCGGCGATGATTACTAATGAAGTTATAACCAGGCAGATTTACCATATTAAAAGTATCATCGTTTAGCCAGGTTTCAGATACTCCAATTACAGAAAATGAGTCGAGCAAATTTGTGGTTAAAACTCTAAACCTATCAAAATTACCGAATTACATGGTTTATCCGTTACAAGTTCATTAACTTCACTTTCAATCATGTACCTACTATTAGATGGCATTAGTTCGTTAAAGTTTAAATCTGGGTCAAGATTAGTTATAAATGAGTTCTCTAAAGTAGAAGGCAGATATTCAATTGGATTGAATATTAAAGATTCTAAACGATCTAAGTCAAAATTTAATGGACCATGTTCAAACTCATACAATACTGCATTAAAGGCGGTATCATCCAGGTGATTAAATGGCAGAGGTGACTCACTTTCAAACAAAGAATTATTAACAGCCATTATTAAATATAATTATACTTATCTTCAAAAAGAAGATAGTTATAAACTTTGTTCTTGAGATAACAATTGAGCAAGATCCTCTCGTTTTGTTAGCTTGATAACAACATCACCCTCGGATTTGCGCAAACAAATGGTTTTATTTCTAACCCAGCAAAACTTGAAGTTATTTTCACGTTTGTATTTGTTCGCCTCAAACAAGAGTTCCTGTAGACGTGGGGGTAGATGTTCATAGATACTAAGATAATTAAGTTGCACTTCTGAGGAGAAACCAAGTTGTTGTGGTTGAACGTTGCTAGTTTCCTTTCTGAGAGCAAGAACCCTTTCCTTAGCCAAGCGACGGACGAATTTACAGATTATTGCACTCGGCCGATTTGATTGCCTTCTCGCAAGGACTCGATGTGAAATGTCTATGTTCTGTTCTGTAACTTCAGCTCCGATCGCGGCGAACAAATTCAAACACAATTTCGTTGTGTTTTTGGCTGATTCATTCTCACATTGCTGTGGCATGCCGACGATTTTCAGATTATATTGATAGCTATAGTCCTCCATTTGTTCAACGGAGGTCATAATAGCTTCGCATTTTTTAGATATCATGCTAACTTGCTTTTTCATATCTTTGAGATCTTGAATCACGTTGTTTTTAAACACAATAATATCATCGTATTGTGCGCTTATGAATTCGATAGACTTAGTTTTATCGGCTGCCTCAGACCGATTAGTTGCATGGTTGACTTCTTGTCCGGTAAGAGAATCGGCCATGCTGTCTTTTTTCTTTGACACTTCGTTTGTAATTTTATCCAGCCTTTCTTCTAGTGCCGTGATCTCGCTTCTTAGTGCCTGGTTCTCTTTCCGAAGCTTAGCAGTTGCCATAAAAATAATATTAGGTAGTTGTATGATGTGAATAAGTAGTGAATTTATATATCTTAATATATAAAATTTTAGCGGAGCACAAAATACACGTCTGCCCACGAGCACTGCACTACTCTTATCATTGTAGTGTGTATATATATATATATTATTGAAAGTAATAAAGTTCCCATTATTATTATTATTATTATTATTATTATTATTATTATTATTATTATTATTATTACGGAATACATTGGCCCGAGAACTATCGAGCCTATATTAGCCAACAAGCTTATACCTCTTGACAAAGGTGAGGGTGCGGTTCGTCCAATTGGCGTCGGGGAAGTTATCAGGAGGATTGTCGGGAAATGTGTTACGAAAGTGATTAATCCCGACGTGATTGATGCCAGTGGCTCGCTACAGGTGTGCGCAGGTCTTAAGAGCGGAAGTGAGGCAGCTGTTCATGCGATGCACTCCATATTTGAAGCAGACGAGACAGATGCCGTACTTCTGATTGATGCCTCAAACGCATTCAACGCACTCAATCGAGCCGCTGCACTCCACAACATAACAGTTCTGTGTCCATCTATGTCAACCTACCCAATTAACACCTATCGCGAACCAGCTAGACTATTTATATCTGGTGGAGGAGAGCTCAAGTCCACCGAGGGTACCACACAAGGGGATCCTCTGGCCATGGGGATGTATGCCATCAGTCTTCAACGCCTGATCACCGGATTGAATGTGTCAAGCAATGCTAAGCAATGTTGGTTTGCTGACGACGCGAGTGGCGCGGGATTTCTGGAAGATATCAAGCGATGGTGGGAACACCTGAATGAAGCTGGCCCTAATTTAGGATACTTTCCAAATGCTAAGAAATGCTGGCTGATCATAAAGCCTGGAAAAGAAGAAAGTGCTCATGCTATTTTTGATGGGACAGCGATCAATATCTCTGCGCAGGGGCAAAAGCATTTGGGCGCAGCCTTGGGTTCTATAGCTTTCCTGGAAGAATACGTCAACGGCAAGGTAGAGGACTGGGTTAGCCAAATCGTCAAGCTAGCTGAATTCGCAGCGTCACACCCACAAGCCTGCTATGCCGCCTTCACCTTTGGCCTCCGCCATCGATGGACGTATTTTCTTAGAACACTTCCAGATATAGAAGATTTGCTGAAGCCCTTGGAGCGTGCTATTGCTGATGTCCTGATACCATCAATTACGGATCATCACTGTACAAAGAGTGAAAGGGATCTCCTGACACTCCCAGTACGAATGGGCGGTATTGGCCTTATAAATCCTAGACAAGATGCAGCACTGCAGTACCAAACGTCGATAAAGACCACAGCGCCACTGGTAGAGAAAATTATCGCACAAGCCTACGAAATTCCAGATGACTCTGTTATTCACACACTGCAGCAGAATGCGCGAAATGAAAAGAACGAGGTACTTCAGGCTAAACGAGATGGTATTAAGAACTCTCTACCCCCGAAAACACGGCGTGCTATGGAACTAGCAACAGGGGCGCACATTCGAAAAAAATTTGGGGGGGTGTCCTATGTTCTTCGACCGACTTTTGTAGTATTTATGTTTGGTTAGAAAAGCTAACTATTTAAAGCGCACAGACGGTAAGACGGGGATAGCATTCCAAGAGTTTAAATAAACGTTCAGTTTTTCAGAACTTTTGCAGTGGTCTAAACTTTCGGAGGGGGGGGGGGGAGGCAAAATTTTTATGAATTTCGAATGCGAGCCCCATAGGCGCGAGGAAAATTTTGAATTTCTAGATTCATTAGAACGCTATTTCACGTATTTTAGGACAAGGTTTGAAGAAAAGTTACAATCACAAAAATGCATTTTTAAGTCGCCTAATGTTTTTAGATCGAAAAAATATTTATGTAAAATATAGTATTGTACACGCAAATACTCAACAGCAAAATAGCATCATGTCTTCGTTTTTGTAGAAGTCGGTCATGAGTGTTGCTTTGAGCGCAAATTCAAGTTCAAATGTGCTTTAAAATAACCATAGGCATTTTTTACTGGAGTTAGGATTCTAGGTAGGGAAGACTTCAACTTTTATTGGCAAGCAGAAGAGATGGGTGCCCCTGACTAGCAACTGAAAAAGGTGCATCCAACTGGCTAACAGTTATCCCCATTAAGGAAATGGACTACAATCTGAACAAGGGTGAGTTTCGAGACGCAGTAAAGCTGAGATATGAGCGGAAAATTGCTGATAAGCCATCAGTATGCGTGTGTGGCGATACTTTCAATATTGATCACGCAATGATCTGCAAGCGAGGTGGGTTCATCATACAGCGCCACAACAAGCTGCGAGATCTTGAGGCTGATATGCTTAACATCGTCTGTAATGATGTTGAGGTTGAACCCGTTCTTCAAGAGTTAACTGGCGAGGTTTTACCAAGAGGAGCAAATACAGCATCCGACGCTCGCCTAGCTATCCACGCTCGAGGGTTTTGGGAGAAACAAAGGTCCGCGTTCTTTGACGTTAGGGTTTCTCACCCCAACGCGGAATCCTACAAAGACCTGAGCCCTCAACAGATATACAGGCAACATGAAAACGAGAAGAAGAGGATGTATGCCCAAAGAGTGATGGAGATAGAACACGGAACGTTTACACCACTAGTATTTACAACGACTGGAGGCATGAGTGAAGAGTGCAAGAGGTATCATAGCAGATTGGCCGAGCTCACAGCAGCGAAGAAAGGCGAAGACTACTCTACGACCATGTCCTGGATACGAGCCAAGGTCTCCTTTGCCATCTTGCGGTCAGCTCTACTTTGTCTCAGAGGGACTAGAGCACCCAGGAGGATAACTACGAACGTTCAAGAAACGGACTTCGAAGTAGACAATTCTCGTGCCAAAATTTAGGCTTAGACTTTTACCATAAATTCTTACTATAACATATACTATAACATACTACAACAATTTAGACTCACTTCCTTATATATACTAGTAATTAGTTATTAATGTAGTAGGATTATTTTATAAATAAATTATTATGGCTATTAAAAAAAAAATTACTAGCTGATTGCAACATAATTTTTCTCATAAACCGAGTAACCGACTATAAAAGTCTTTGCGCGTTTTTTTACTGTTATCTACCAAACAATACACGCAAGCACCAGTACGTAACAATTCGATTGATATATGTTGATCTCAGGTTTACCTGCTTTTTCTTCTTAACCTTTTGTGAGTTCACCTGATTTTTTCCGCTTGTGCTGGTTGGTGGCATCCCCTGGTCGCTACGTCCCTGTTTGTCATTAGGGAGCTTAAGCATGTATGACGGCAACACGACGACGACGGCCAAAACAAATTCCTTCAAATAAATTATAGTAAAGAAAACTTGTCGCATATTATAATTCGTATGAATTTAATACAGTATAAGAAGTTGAAAACATTGGCTTTATGTTTGGGAAGAGTTCTACTGAACCGTATTTTAAGTTTCACTTGTTACGGCTTGAAATGCAGGCGTTGTATAAAAGACGTGAAAATCTGTGATTTGCTGTTGCAAACAGAGCGACGACTACGTCTGAAACTCCCCCAGGACTTTAATTATTTATTTATTTTCATTGACTCATTGTATTGGTTGCCGTCGTCGTCGCGGTGTTGCCGTCCTACATGCTTAAACTCCCTATTTGCGCTCCAGTCACATCGTATTTTGCTGTCCTCATTTCCATAAAACATGCAATGGCGACAGCAAAATATCAGTGGTGTAGAAGAGGAAGGCTCAGCTCCCCACCCCCACCTTCTTAGAAGCTTAGGGTGGCTGAGCCACCCTTGTCAAAAATTTTGCAGATTGCATATTCATAACTTTACCTGGAAAGTTCTTTGCAACTGTAGGGTTGAAATGATGCGGTAATGATGTTAGCAATCTGTTCTTGATTACGATTATACCATTAGGTCATGTATGTGGCTCCAACATGAAATAGCTATCTTCAAAAAACATTTATTGAAGAATTACTAGAATCAACATTCCATGTTACATCCACTGATCTAGTGGTTGCACCCTCTACTCCTTATCACCCTAACGTCTTGTCACCCCGCCCCCTTTAAGAGCCCCTCCCCCGTTATAATTTCAGTTCTACACCACTGCAAAATATGACGTGCAGCTAGCTGGCGCGTAAATGGTGATTCCCGTGTCGTGCTCGTACTCGTGTACTAATGCATGATTTCAATGGTCCATTGGGTGACTTTATTTTAAAACAGACATAAAATCGGCCCTACTATACCAATATAGATTAAATTTTCGATATCCACTAATAATTAGCTGTGTAAAAATCTGGAACATAGCTATTTCATTATTTTTGACACCCTGTATTACTTGTACCTCGACTTGTACTCCCTTATTGGTCCCACAGAGAGTTCTATGCTCGAATACTTCAAATAACTGCGAATATTTTGCCACTTTCAGATCATTCTGACGACTCGATGGTTACCGCAATTGACATCACATTAAATGGGAAATTAGCTCTGACTGGAAGCAGTTCAGGAACATTATCGCTGATGAACTTGGATAGTTTTGAGGTAGTTCAGACGCCCGGAAAGACCGAAGCCGGAGTCGGTATACGTTTGGTTTGCATACTAAGTGATCAGGCCCGTTTTGTATTTGTTGACATGGCAAACAGAGTAGAATTAAGAAATTTTAATAATAAAGATGCCGAGTTACTATTGGATCAACCAGCTGTTAAAGTGACTTGCATTACTACTCATGGTGTAGACTATGTATTGCTTGGTTGTGAAAACGGAGAATTAGTATTGTTTAATTTACATGTTAAACAATATAAGTATAAATATCAAGCTCATTCCGAAGCCGTTTCTCAAGTTAAAAGCGACCCAGCTGGTGTCATTCACTTTTTTGTATCGGGGTCTGCCAGTGGGTGTGTGAAACTTTGGTATGTGTCGAAAACCGTGCCGCCTTTGTCGAGTCAAATTTGGTCACATGACAACGTTTACCCGCATTCCATTACTGCCCTAGCATTTGTCCCCCACTCCGAGGACATCGTGATCGGTTCCTTTGACAACAAGGTATGCTGAGTACATTATTATTATTATTATTACAACTTTATTTCAATACGGAACTATTTCACAATGTAAAACTAACTATATACAGAGAGAAACCAAAATGAGGGATCTTCCAATAGGCCGTATATGATGCTTGTGATGTTACTCTGAGTGTATATCCACCCCGGCACGCTTGAAAAATATGCCTGGCCACGGTGGGAATCGAACCTACGACCTTTTGGAATACTAGCCCAATGCTCTACCAACTGAGCTACGCAGTCACTACTCAGATCGGTTCGAGTATGTGGTATTTCGGAACAGAATCTAGTTCCTTCGATATCAATGTAAAAATTATTATTACAATAGGAAATTATGATTACTTTCGTTCCAATTGAAACTAATTATTTCTGAAATATTGGATAGTTTGAGATCTTTTAAAGGACAATGGCAACAAATTTTCTATTGTCTATATTAAAAGTGTTGCTTCATCTAATTATGAATATGATATTAATACCGTGTCAAATATTTTTGTTCAGGAGTTATATGCATGTTATTTCACTCTTAATTTATATATCGTCCGCCATATTTTATATATCGTATTACCGAAAAATTATCTTTTGTGTAACATGACCCGTATGACGTAAATGGCATGGTAGAATCAAAACAACAATATATTTTTGTATAGCGTATATCGAGATTTTCTCAAAAAATTAATGCTTTTGAGTCATTGTAATGGAAAATATTCACGAGAACCAAGTAGGGGAAATGTTATCATACCCATAAGAACCAGAAGTAGGAGAAAAACAAGCAATATTTTAATTTTGGGATAGGTATAAATATAGGGCCTCTACATGCATCTTGGATCTTTGGTTTGTGGTTTACTTATAATCATTTATTTAATGGATTTCTTTCACTTATTTTCAACGGGATATTGAAAATAGACCATGCCGTTAAATATTGTATATTAGGTGCACGCGTATAATGCGTGCGCTGTTTTGTGTCTTTTTATGTCAATCCATTGTAGAAATAGTATACCGCAATTGAAGCTAATAGTATTTACTGTAAACAAGACGCTCCACGGAGCGTAAAGTCGCTGGGGCGATGGAAATATGCAATTTTAAGCACAAGTGATACCACTTAAGAACAGCGTGTTTGTTTTTCCGAAAACATTGAATCTTGAAGTTTGCTGTTTGCTTGGCAGTTAGCGCTAATAGTTAAAACAAGTACAACCATGTAGCACTAATGTTGTTTTAATAGTCATATAGTATACAGTATCTATCGTATGTGTTAAAATTATAAGCATTTATCCTGTTGTCATTACACAGATCGGCTGGTGTTATGTTACTAACTGGTGCGTCGAAGGCTGGAAGGCAATAATATTCTTCCCTTCGAAACTAAACACATTATAACGTCTGTTTAATACAATAATGCCTCGTGAGAGGAGATTACCAAGCGACTGTATTATGTATAACAATAACGCTTTAGACATATCTACTAATCTATATACCAGTGCGCACTGTGCAGTATAAAGGCGGCGATCTGCATGGAATAATAATAATATATGTTATAATTGGGCCAAGAAAGATTCTATGTTACTTCCACACGATATCAGGAAATTGAGTTCCTCCTTTTCAGCTTTTGGTAATACATTTTGTCCCAATGAACCTTAATCCTTCAATGCTATTTAATAGGAATAGGATGTAGACTCAAAAGAACCATGCCGATGTCTGACTTTAAGTTTAATTTATGTAGATCCAAAAGACCAAAATATTTTTACTGACTGGAAAGTTTGGAAATTGCGCTCTAGAGATTTCGATAATTCAATAGTAAATATATAGAAAGCATCAAAATTTGCGCGCCCGATGTCTCCGCCGCGCGATACTCAAATATATAAAATTATGTACAAATTATCTACTTTCCTCCTCGATAACATAACAGTGAAAACGTCGTGATAACTTTTAGTGAATTCTTAATATATTTATTTCAAAAATCCCAAACGAAAAGACACGACTGGACCAAATAGTCGATAGCGAACTTTTGCACGCTATTCCATGGTCGCCATTTTGATTTTGATTTCGTAAGAATTACGTAATTAAAATGACGTAATTTGTCATTTTGTGGCGTACCACAGGGCAAACCTAGAGTCGCTGGGCACCACAGGTGGCCCCACCGACTAATAAAGTTATTACTTGGCAACGCTTCCCTTTTCAATTGTATTCTAAACGTTTCATTGTACTGTATTCGTTTTAAAAACTTTGGCGACTGTCCTTGTTCATACGCGTCGTCGGCAAAATGAAGTGACCATATATTCTGGTGCACGACGATGGTTTAAATGCTTTCCGCTTACAGAATTCAATCCACGCTTTTCTACTATATTGCTGATCTACCGATTTGCCCTTTGGAAAATTGAAGAAACGGATTTCACTTGTGTGTTGGCTGTCACTATTACAACCGTAGACGGCAATACATGTTTGCAGTGCACCTTACGTTTTACATGAACAATCTTGATCTTTTCGCTATTCAAGCCGTACTCAGACTAATATTAATATATTTGCAATTTCGGTTATATATATATATATATATATATATATATATATATATATATATATATATATATATATATATATAGTATAATGTCCCACACGTGAATTTAGGGTATTTTACATAACAATAATATTGGGAACTACACTACATGCATATATTTACCTATATAAAATGACAACCAAGTAAAACTACATGTAAAAACACATCACAACATATAACCAGATTATAATTATTTTACACTTATCTCTTGTCTGGGAAAATCCCATGCTAACCTTGAATGTCAATTTACTAATTTGCACAATGTGCGCAATGTCTAACTTGCGCGACACTACACATTACAGAAGGGGCAAATCTTGTTTGTGAGATAACAGCTATTTCGCGAGCAATGTCGTTTGAAAGCCTGCTCAGTTTTAAAAGCAACAAGACGCCTGCTCAGGCGTTCACACTGGCCTGAAAATGGCAACTTTCGTGGTACTGGGTGTAATGTGTAGTAGAGAAGTAGATAGGGATACAGGATCATAAGGATACTGGATCATATAAATAACAACCAATAAATACAATCATGATCAGCAACTGTAAACCATAACAGGGGCGGATCTAGGGGTCGTAAAACCAGTCACGCGACTAACGCAAAAATTGCAAACTTAATTAAAGTCTTAAATATTCGACCAATAGTCCAGTTATTTTTTATCATGCAGCGACACCTTATAATAGTCCAGTATCTATCAGTGATCATGCATGCAGCGCTAGCCGACGAGCTTAGTCAAGTCAATGAGCAGCTGACATACGCAAAGTCGGTCAGTCAAAAAGTCAAAATCTAGTGTTCTGATTGGTCTAGACGCTTAAAATTCGGAAATGCCTGCTGCTCCAGTCCTTGTAGTATTCATGAAATGGTTCAATCCGCATTTGCGGTGAATGATTTAGCTGTCTTACAAGACTGTTGCGCTTATCTTGGGAGGAAAATCAACGCTAAATATCGGAGAGTTCCATTCAGTGAGCAGTTGCTAAGGGCCACGAATAGCACGAACTACAGTTTGACTGTTTGAGTAGAAGTATTGGCGCCGAGATCTTTATTCTGAAGTGAAATAAGGTAAATTTAATGTGACATGTAAATTTTATTTCGTTTTAGACAGCATAACAATATTTATAAGCGAACAAGATGCGCGCCATGCATATGTAAAATTGTAACTTGAATACGCGTACCGTATTTACTTGTTTGAGCGCCGCGGCGCTCTTTAAATTTTCAGAGCTTCAGATGCGGCGCTCATTTGGGGGCGGCGCTCAATCTGGGGCGGCGCTACTTAAAAAATATTTTATTTGTGAATTATAACAAGAACTTTTAACAATAAAATAAACAAGTTTTAAATGTCTTTGTCACTAAATGTCCCCATTTTGACGGCGGAAAGTTTTTACACTGTTTACAAGTTTACAAAATATCAATGTCACTGTCCTTTTCATTGTTGGATATGCTTCCTCGACATCAGAAGACGTAAATTCGTCGCATTGAAAGGAGTAATCGCAGGAAAATAATTAGCGCGGCGCTCATTCGGGGGCGGCGCTCTTTTAAAAAAGTTGATCTCAAATGCGGCGCTCATTCGGGGGCGGCGCTCAATCGGGGGCGGCGCTCAAACGAGTAAATACGGTATCTTGAGTTAGATTTAGCTATGAATTTTGATTTACACAACAAATTTGCATATTTGTAATTCTGCGATTGAAGGTCCGTCAGAACTCAGAAGGCTATTAATATGGAGGATAACCTATATAAATGCATTAATGCAGTATACCTAGGATATAAAGGTCAGGTTTTATAGATGAATGTTAAGACTTTAATATTGATATATGTTTATTTGAGTAATATGACACTGTAGTGATTACTAGTCAAGTGATCAATGACTCAACAAGGCTATTAGGCAACAAAAATGAGTGTAGTACTATCATGAGATAGTTAAACATAATACTAGCAATCCGTAATTTGATAAAATGAAACATCTTCCACAATTATCACATTTCTGCAAGTACTTCTCCTTTACGTTTCCCTAAGGAGCGAGTTGTGAGAGTCAGTCAGACTGATAGTTGCTATAATTATCTCCCATTTCACGAAGTTAATTTTTTGTTGAACCTGCTTTCAGAGTGATGCAAATTGCGTTTCTGAGGTTTAAAAATATAAAAATTCCTGGGGGACAGACCCCCCCCCCCCCTAGGTGCCTCGCGCATTCGCCGCTCGCAAAACTGGATTGTACATCCAAAAACTTTGACTAACGTACAAAAAATCCTGGATCCTCCCCTGAACCATAATATACCAAGACACCGGCTCAGACGTACCCTCCGGCTACGGGCAGCTCAACCTGACAAGCCAGGCCCACTGTAACTATGATCATCAACTATCAACCGTAAAGAATGACGGGCCAATAATAGCGAAGAAATTATATAGTCCTTGATTTTTAGTGCCGTTATATGGCTAGTTTCAGGTACTAAAAAGTTCATAGACATGGACGATTCTTGCTTCCATTTATAAGATAAACTGATCCCAACCCAAAGCCCTTCTCTAACCCCAACCAGTAAACATCTAATAAACAATTGAGAATTAAAAAAGTGGGGGGGAAAGTTGGATCTTGTTCCAAAAACAAATCGAACCTATCACGTTTCACTTCGCCGCACGCAACGCCACCTCGCTGAATACAGTCGAAAACATACATTTTATAGTAATATATGATGAATTAGAAAGTAATTTGGCGCAAATTAATGTAATTAGGTGCAAATTTATAATTATGCAAATAAATACAAGAGCACAACGCATGTTTATGAGCCTACAACGTATATTTATACTATCAAACCTTTAACTTGTCCTTGTTTATATTCCACTATATTGTATAAATTCGCTGGGTCCAAATTTTGGGGGTTTCGAGTCGTTACACAAAGAAAAACACACTAATTCAACACGCAAGAAAGGCCAGAGTGCGACACAACGTAAAATCCATAGGAAACCGGCACAATTCTCTGAAAATTCAACGAAACTGTGTGAAATATATGTTAGATTGCTCAGTGAAAAGCCGCCATTTTGAAACTGAACTGAATATGTCACTGGAGCACGTTGCACCCTGAGCCTGCGATGAGCTAACGCAAACTCCATTTCTCGACGAAAAAAAAAACAGAAAAAGGGGGATTTAAGACACTTGGCCTACAGGCCAGTGTAACAAGACGCCTGCTCAGGCGTTCACACTGACCTGAAAATGACGACATACGCGATATGGTGCAATTAGCTTGCGTGGCAGGCCCTCAATTTTATGGAGAGGGGGCCTGATTTGCAGCGGGCAGGATTTTGGCGGGCACGGGGTGGCGGGCACGGGGTGGCGGGCACGGGGGAGGATTCGCCCGCCAAAATCCTGCCCGCTGCAAATCAGGCCCCCATAAAATTGAGGGCCTGCCACGCAGGCTATGGTCACTGTGCTATGGTGCAATCACTGAGCTGTATAATAACTGGAGGACCTGCTCCTATACTTCGTTCAGTCAACGAAGTGAAGCCAAAAACTTGGCGGATTTTCAGGCAAAATGACGCCATTTCCATGACTACTGGTCCCTAAATTCATGGTAATTGCCACTGAACAAGGATCAAATATGAGCCCGCCGCAGTTTTCACTCCCCTGTTGAATCTGTTGAAACTGGTAGTCAATTTATCCCGGGCGTTCTGTGACCCCGTCCGCGATCATATCAGATCATGTCAGCGGCTTAGCATTTAGCATTAATTAACACAATTCGAATTCGCGCGCGAATTATTAATTAAAGATATTATTTTAATTGAATATAATACACTTAAAAAATAAACGTGACCCTAACTCTAACCTAACCTAACCGAAAGGCATTGTATAAAGGCAATCTGAGGAAAAATCTTTTAAAGAAAAAAATAAACAAAAAACAAAACATTGGCAATTGCGAGATCGAACCACCAATTAGCAGCACGTTAGATCGCACGCAACGCCCTAGACAAACACGCCACCGGCACTCGCTGAAATACAAAAGAAGAAAATCTAAATATATAGGGGTCACATATATAAATAAAACCATCCGCTCACATTTAGTATAAAATATTGTGATGGCATCGGCATTTATTGTTTTTCTAGCCACGTCAAGGACCTCAAATTTCAGAGAGGATAGTTTCTGAATTTTCTCAGAGCATGTATTAATTTGCATGCACATGGGAATGACCGTATACGTATGTATTTTTAGACAAAATAAACTATAGAGTATAGTATAAACCAGTCATATTTGTTCTTTGATGGTAAATTCGGTACTGGAATGATGGCCCATGTATCTGGAAATATTTCCACTTTCTAAAGTAATGTAAAATTCCTTTGAATTTTGAGTAAAACCTTCGAACTTCGGGCGACGTTATTTAAGTAATTTACTAGATGCCGCTGATGTGATCGCGGACGGGGAGGGTCACAGAACGCCCGGGATAAATTGACTTATGACTACCGTTGAAACTTGATGCTCAAGAAATATGTCGAAGTATACCTCTCTGTTATCAAACCTACGGTAAAATAATCCGACAATAGCCTACTCAATGATATTGTCAAAGACTTGTTTGTGCGTGTATATGTTACAAATAGGAATACTGTATATGTCTGACATTTAGGACATTTAGAGAATGCAGTCCGCATGATAAATTTGATAAATAGCTTTAATTGTGACAATAGCTTTACTGTAATGAAATTTAATACTTTACTGTGATGAAGTACTTTGTGAAATATAATACTGAATCAAACTCTAAGACTATGTAAATGTTATATCTGTGGTGGGTACATTGATATGACTGCATGTGCATATCAGACTGAGTGATATCAGTGTTTATGGCGTGGTTTATTCCGTGGTTTATGGAATTATCTATGATATGACTATGTTGATATTATAAAATGTGTACTGTATGTCAGAAAAATACTGTTATAAATATTGCTATTACCCCATTACTTAGTGCATGGAGGCCAAAAAATTATCAGGCTAAAGCCGTGATTGTATATACCACTTGATGATACACGCCCTGAGGCTGAAAATTGTTGTACTTTACTACAGTGCCAACCTCCTATACCCTACCGATCTACAGGTTTTTTAATAAATATGATGAAATATTTAATTTAAAATATTTTCAAAGATAAACTATCGACAGTTTTAAAGTGAGCATTTAGTCACTGTTCGGCAGTGTCGATGCACATGTTTACATTGTGATTTGTGACAAAAAATTAATTACATTTCAAACTGAATTTTTTTCAACCTTCACTAAATGAGACGCGTACTATTAGTAAATCTGCACACAGTTTATCAACGTTTTCAAAGGAACAGATAAAAGTGAAAATGTACAAACGTTGACGACTGACCAGTTTAATATGAAAATATGTTTGTGAGAGAATACCCAACTTCGAAGTTTAAAGTATACATTTTATTTGTTTCTTGACTTGACTGTTGATAAAATGGTACAGTGTTTTTGTAATTAAAAAGCAAACAGAGGTATAAAATAGAAGTTAGCGGGCGATTCCAACTATATATCGTAAAATCCCACTCCTGGTATTTGAAATTAACGTTTTCTGTGGAAGCATGTAATTTGATACTTTGCCACTCCTCCTTGGGCAATTAATTTTTGTAGAGTCACGTGACCAGCCGATACCAGGGTCTTTCCCAATCTCGTTCCCCGAGCATGCCCGTTCGCAGGTTAAGGGTGGGCATAGCTCTGGAGAAATCGAATTGATTCACGTTGAATTTCCAACGTGAGTTCTGCGCATGCTCGGCAATGTTGCAAAATATAAATAAAGTATTTAGAATTTCGCGTCGAAAATTAGATACATTTTACACTGAAATCGAATTGAAAACAACTAAAAATGCTGGGGGAAATATGTACGAAAGCTTCGGTTGGATAGGGATACAGCTACCTGAAAAATACAAGGAGAACTTCGACGTTTCGAGTGAAGCTTCGATATGTACTGTTAGTGTTTGTATACATCGTACTTGACCTTTGCTGATAAATATAATCTCCTCAATAATAAGTATTATATATTTTTATGCTTTAAAATTTACATTTATATAACTCTCCTGTTAGAATTTATGGCATACGTAGTGTTAGCCTGTTAGGTATGACAGTATATAAAAGGTCAAGTACGATGTATACAAACACTAACAGCACAAGTCGAAGCGCCTTCGCTCGAAACGTCGAAGTTCTCGTTGTATTTTTTAGGTAGTTGTATCCCTATCAATCCGCAGCTTTCGCACATATTTCCTCCAGAATTTCTAGTTGTTTTCAATCGATTTCAGTGTAAAAAGTATCAAATTTCCGATGAGAAATTCCAAATACTTTGTTTAGTAGAACTCACGTTGGAAATCCAACGTACTATCTGCCGTTAGCCAATCACAGGCCTGAATCAATTCGATTTCTCCAGAGCTATGCCCACCCTTAACCTGCGAACGGGCATACTCGGGGAACGAGATTGGGTCTTTCCCAAAAAGACCCTGGTACGAGGATGTGGACTCTGTAGCTCAGTTGGTTAGAGCACAGGCGGCCCAATCTCGCAAGGGTCAGTATAGACTTATAGTATAAATGTATATTTATAGTAATGTATATTATAATAAAAATATGTCATAAAATATAAATTTTAAAATGAAATTGACTTGCCCATTTGATAGTGTGTGTTCTCCTTGTATTCCTCCTGTGTTGGACTAATATTTTCCGAGACTTTGTACTCGATGTTACTAGTATACATGAAACATGATAAAGGCTAACTATTCCCGATCGTCGATACGACGGCACGGCACTTCGAATCGAAAATTCTCACACTCAAATCGCTTTATTCTCCAAAAGAATTCGCCAGCATGCACAACAGATGCCGTTCTTCGAAAATACGGAGGTACTTCGGCGAGATGTACAAGTTTTGGACCATATTTTAACAATGGAAATCAAAACCCATTTTATATTGAACTTGCCCAGGCCGAAAATTACTACGGCGAACGTCTGCGCAACCAGGCCTCCTTTACCGTTGGATTTACAGGGGGGAAGCAGATATTTCCGGTAACAGCCAGCCAATCGCGGCCGCGATAGCGACTGTTTACATTATTTGAAATTTGATATTCAAAATAAAAACTCCTTCGATCGGATACTGTATAAAACTCGAGATGTTGTCGAAGAAACGAAAACTAAACGATGGAGATTGAAGAAATTTAAGGAAGAAGTAATATACAGCGGCAAAACAGCGGCTCTTTGTTGGAAAGCATGGTAGAATATGATACTAATAATTCGAAATATTATCGTGAATATATTAGTGGCATCCTCCCCCCCTGTAAATCCAACGGTAAAGGAGGCCTGGTTGCGCAGACGTTCGCCGTAGTAATTTTCGGCCTGGGCAAGTTCAATATAAAATGGGTTTTGATTTCCATTGTTAAAATATGGTCCAAAACTTGTACATCTCGCCGAAGTACCTCCGTATTTTCGAAGAACGGCATTTGTTGTACATGCTGCCGAATTTTTTTGGAGAATAAAGCGATTTGAGTGTGAGAATTTTCGATTCGAAATGCCGTGCGGTCGTATCGACGATCGGGAATGGTTAGCCTTTATCATGTTTCATGTATACTAGTAACATCGAGTACAAGGTCTCGGAAAATATTAGTCCAACAAAGGAGGAATACAAGGAGAACACACACTATCAAATAGGCAAGTCAATTTCATTTTAAAATTTATATTTTATGACATATTTTTACTATAATATACAATTAATATAATATAAATTTATACTGTATAAAGTCTATACTGACCCTTGCGAGATTGGGCCGCCTGTGGTTGAATTTTCAAAGAATTGTACCGGTTTCCCATGGAAAATACGTTGTGTCGCACTCTGGACTCTCTTGCGTGTTGAATTAATGTGTTTTTCTTTGTGTAACGACTCGAAAACCCCAAAATTTGGACCCAGCGAATTTATACAATATAGTGGAATAGAAACAAGGACAAGTTAAAGGTTTGACAGTTTGACTTTTTAATTAACAAGTATAAATATACGTCATAAACATGTGCGTTGTGCACTTGTGTTCATTTGCATATTAAATTATAGATTTGCACCTAATTACATTATAATTTGTATAAAATTACTTTCTATTTCATCATATATTACTTGCAATTACTATAAAAATGTATTTGTTCGATTGTATACGTATTCAGCGAGGTGGCGTTGTGTGCGGCGAAGTGAAACGTGGTACGGTTCGATATATTTTTGGAACAAGATCCAACTTTTCCCCCCATTTTTTTAATTCTCAAATTGTTTATTAGATGTTTACTGGTTGGGTTTAGATAAGGGCTTGGTGTTGGGATCAGTTTTTCTTATAAATGGAAGCAAATTGGCGTATTTTTTAGAAGAGTCGTCTATATGTCTATGAACATTTAGCACCAGAAACGAGCCATATGATGGCATTAAAAATCAAGGACTATATAATTTCGTCGCTATTATTGGCCCCGAATCATTATTTACGGTTGATAGTTGATGATCATAGTTACAGTGGGCCTGAGCCTGCGTCTTGGTATATTATGGTTGATAGTTGCTGATCTTGATTGTATTTATTGGTTGTATTTATATGGTCCAGACTTTCTGTATCTCTATCTCATAGTACTTTTCTACTACACCCTACCACAAAATTTGCCATTTTCAGGCCAGTGTGAACGCCTGAGCAGGCGTCTTGTTGTATCTTCAAGAAGAACCATATTCTCTACTTTGAAATTACTTTATTTTTATATTTAGTTATTTATAGTAGATAAGTGGAAATCCTAATTACTGTAACGATAGTTGAATAATTAATTCAAATAATTTAAATATGCGCTTTTTATTGGCTAGAATAATGACACACCCCCAATCACACCCCGGTCAAAAAATCCACCGGTAGATTTGGCGCGCTGCAAGCGAGAAAAGTCCTTTCCAGCGTACATACGAACCGCGGAAAAATAACTGGAAAGGACTTTGGGAATGTCTAGCACTTGCCAAGCTTAAAATGGCGACATGTTCTTGTTCTGATGGAATAATGAAAGGAATGTATTCAGAAAGTTTCAAATATCGCAAACTTAATTGCAAGCATCAATAACTGTTATTGGTCAAAATTTCCAATAAATGCTGCACATGATTAACACATCTGTGGTGTACGTGCAGGTCCCTAACTTGATTAATATAATTAACTGCACTGCGCAAACCACTAATGATCGTCCGTGATTTTTTTGGCCACGTCGCGTTTTTATGGTGACTTTTATACTCAACAATTTCAGCAATGTTCAAAAACTCAGTGTTATAGAAGCTTCGGCCATCTTTCGCAATAACAACTGTATAGCGCATTTTTTTACGATCGCTTTCGTGCACAGCATGAATGATTTCATTGTTCCATCAAGTGAGTTCATACGGTGACCTTATAATTGGCAACACCCATGCAATTGGTGTCATATAGTGAGATTATGTGCGAGGAATGGATAATGCCAAGGTACTGCTGTTAACATAATATGTTTTACATTGTTTGTTTATTTGGACTAAAATCAGCGGCACTTGCAAACAAATTGCTCTGTCATTAAAACTGCGTGCATGGTTAATCGGCTAGTTAACAAAAAATCTGGTTTAATTCTGCTTTAGTATAGTTGAATAATGTCTAAAGTCATGGATAATCTGAGAACAGCAGCACTGACAAATTGTTTTTATATAGTTCCGACTTTATTTCATGTTCATGTTTGTTTTGTTTTGTTTTCACTAACAAAAGTATGAAAATTTCGAAAGAAATCTATAAATATGTGGCTGATTTAATCAGGGTTTTTTTATTTTAAATGGTGTCTTAAAATTCCTCCAGGCAATCTTGCAAATAAAATTTGCAGCTTTTCGCGTGTTTAATATTTTTGACTGCTTTAAATCCTAAAAGGTACCTTAATTCCACTTATGCCATGCAACAAAATTTTATTTGAAAGTTCTAGAACCATACAGTGATTATCCCGTTTACGTATATTTTCGGTTTATTTTTCTTCGTTTTGATTATTTTGAAATAGCTGAAAGTAATTTTTTGTTTGGTATACTCGAACTGATCTTTAAAATATTCCCTTTAAGCGGCAATGGAATGATTGATCAACTGGTGTTTGTTTTATATAAAAGACTATTGCGATTGGAAATTCAAAATTTCGGAAAATCTGAAAACCAAAAATCCTGATACACGTAGGTCAGAAATTATTTTGACGGTAGATATCTTTCGCAATTTTAAAGTTCAAACGCACAGATGCATGATTGGCCATGTTTTACCCCATGGACCGACGTTTTTCTGATTTGATTTGCAAGAAATGCATGACAGTTCCCGCATGCCCGCTAGTTTACTAACAAGTCTGAAACATCATTGTTCCTGCATATATATGAGAAACTGCGTTGCAAGAAATCTTTGGTTGTTATGCAAGATACTTTCCCCATTTGTCATAACGTAACAACTGAAATCCTCCATGCAGGTGAAAATTGGAAATGCAGTGCCTCGGAACTTGGCCATTATCTACAACTTTCACGTACCATGTGCGCGTGGAAAGCAAGATGCCAAAATAAATACTGCTGAAATATATCACTATCCAAAATCGAAATACTCAAAAGGACTGGGTACCTATATACGGGAAGCATGCAGGGTGGCATGCATGCAGACGTGCCTTTAGTAAGTTGAGCTGAACATACAGTGTGCATGGTCATCATAAGTCATAACACGAATAATCTAATTTAATTATAATTCTAATAATATGACTATACTCTATTATAAAATTTAAAATTTGTGCCGATTTATCTGGGGATGATTATAGATGATCAGTCATAGATCTGTTTCGTTCAATGTGCGGCATGCATGCATGCAGCACACACATTCTGTGGTCGTGTCAATATAGAATGGTAGACCAGGTGAAGTATGTTTTTAATGACTTAAATTTTGCCGCAACCATAGTTCTCAAAAGTTCTGATATCAAATTGTAGCCGGAATGCCGCAGAGTGCATGTAAAATAATGATACAGATACCGTATAAAAATTCACTTCGTATTATGTCCAGTAAACATTACCGTGGGGTCGATCCATGCAGTACAGTTACATAAGTACGAAAATCCTACTTTGAATAAACGAGCTCATAATGATGTGGGTGGTGATGACGGTTGAAAGTGGCTATTGAAAGGAAATATAGCGCAGACATCTTTGAGAAAAATACCGTGCCGATTGAACGCTATAACAACGCAACACTAAATAATTTCAATAGAACTGCGCTCATTTGTTTATGCTAAAATTTGGCTTTGGCTATAAGTATTGTTTCCGTAGGGATTTCATTAAACAAACGCTATTCTGCGATAAGATCATCAAACAAGTGTGCACTTGGATCTATCAATACAATTGGATATCCCTGATGAAAAGTATTAAACTACGCAATTTTAAGGTCTATTCTTTCAAGTACGCCGGCATGTTGATTGTGCCTCTTGTTAAACATGTGTGATCGGTCTTGTTATAGTCGAAATTCGCTGCAGCTGAACAACTATTTAAAACACCTTTGTGCTATCGTGTTAATTAAATCTCACTGCATGGACAGTAGGCCTCCCCCGTTCCTCCACAATGGTGTTGATTAAAGAATAGTAAAAACAGACCTCCCAAATCCTAAGTACTTCGATCGGTATTCATCTCTTGTTTGCACAACTCATTTGGCACAAGTGAATTAATTTAGCCCTCACTGTCTTCGAATGTATCGCAGTAATTCACAGCTCGGCATGCAATCCTGCTGGTTCACACTAAAGCGAAAAATAGGTGTTCCTCAAATTTCATCGTAGAATGTGGTCACGCAAATATGCTGATAGTAAATTCGGAAATCAAACACACCGAGTTTGTATGTTTTGAGGCGTTCTATTGCTACGTAATAGTTTCCTGTGATTTCGTGTATAGGAACTCAATCAGTCACCTGTTTAAGCTGGAGCCTAATGGCTGTAATGCTGTGAGATATAATATGTACTACAAGATTTCGCGCTCGTATTGACTGTTGTGAAGTACTATAGAGGCCTTATGTTGACTTCATTATTGACTCATTTGGCTTAGGAATTTGCGAATCTGTCGGCTGCATGGTTTTGATTACAGGTCATCAGAGCAGATGAAAGCTCCATAAAATTACAATTAATGTTATCTCAGATTGCCTATAGACCCTCCCAGATTAAGACCAATAGGAATTTCTATAGAAGGAAAGAACTCGATAACATGTTAGGCCACAAACACATTCGACCTTGGGGCATGGCCGTATATTGTCCATATTTCCGTTCCCGCGTAGACCGCACAAATGTTCATCAGGAAAGCACTACACGGTCTGCCCAAATAAAACTCATTTCCTTGAGTAACCTGTGGTATAGGCGACTCACTCTCTCAACCCTCTGCCATAGATTGTCAACATTATTGTCTGTAGTATTGCTAATGCCAGCCACAATGCGTCAGTGGTGTACGTTACCAAACATGACACAACACTTAAAAGGTGAAGAATGATTTATCGAAGCGATTAACACAACTATGACATTTTTCTCGCAACAGCGTAAGTTTGGCGAACAAAAGTCACCCTATCTCACGATATGTCGCTCTCATCCCCCGGTGAATGCGATCACAGAAGTTTCCGGCAGATGTCGCAAATATTTTTAATTAATTTGTTTAACGCTAGATGATGATAGGAAGATCTAGCCTCGGTTTTATTCCTTTGAGGTCGTCGTGCATGACAGATTGCTTCACCTCTGACTGAGAATTGGAACGCGCGTTACGGAAAGGATTTAAAAGCCTGCTCGAACGCCCGCCGTGGTATAGTGTCTTCCAACACGCTACTCCGTTAACATCTGCACTAAATCTTCTCGTCAAGTGCTTTGGTCACCTTTGCATCTTCTCGCTTGTTGCATACAATCTGTACTGATTTTTAGCGAGATCAACTGAAACATGAGGATGTATTTGTTGACAATTAAAATTCAGTCTGTTCTAGTCGCCATTGTGCTTATCCTTCAAGAAGTTCACTCATTCCGTTGGCTGTATGTGTATAGACATATGTGTTTGTTTAATAAAAACCAAGTATTAATATTGAATGACCTTCTGCATTATGCAGGGTCTAAAACAATCCTTTATCCTGTACTCGATCTGACAAACAAGTGCCCACAAGTTCATAACCTAATGTCAATTTGCTCTTAAATTCTTAAGGGGTATAAACAGTACACTGGTAGACGAGTCGGATGATGCAGATTTGCGTCGGTACTTGTGTTCGTCTTCGCCAACAGCCAGTAAGAATCGCCTGTTGAATAAAGAACAGAAAAAGATATGCAGACAGAATGTTAAGATGATGAAATATGTCGTCACTGCAGTGGAACTGGCAAGGACCGAATGTTTGAGGCTCTCAGAATTCGAAAGATGGGACTGTACGGGAATCCTTCAAGCGCCAAAATTCCCAAAAGACCTCAGAGTTGGTAGGTTAAGCAACATGACTATTTAGAGTATTTCAATTGTGTATTTTTCCGCGTTTAAACTGTTTGCGCGCTTTATTTTACGTGAGAGGTGTCACAATAGTGTCTCTAGCAGATTTATTGGAATGAATAACAGTTTTAGGGATATCCACTTAACCTATGCTGTCAACTACCGGGCGGCTTATTTACTTCCATTTTATAGAACGATATATACAGTATATACAGTGTATCAAGTCACGAATAGACCAGTTATACAGTTACTTTTACTATACATTTGATGTTGTACTGTTACAAGATAACTATCAACAACAAAGTCAAAATAGGCAACGCTTTCAGGAATTTGTAGTACAACATCAATGTCCGGCCATGCACTTGTGTCAAGCAGTTGACATTCATAATACGGACACGTGCAATGTGATCTCGCATAGAAACACATTAAAGTGCTCATTGTAACAATAATGTGGCATTTTATGTTCATATTTCCATAAACTTGTAGTTTTTACACCCCACTGAAGACGAAATAAGAACAGAATTCGATAATTAAGACCTTGTGTTTAGCTAACTTGTCAACTCTCTACGAAGAAGATAATAATATATATGAATCTTCTGTCAAGCGTTATGTTTACGTTGGAGATTACTTAGATTTCTCTCAGTACACTAACTAAACTCTTTCAAACACAAACATAAATAGTGGAACGCACTCGGGAGAACATATATATCTCTATGTGTGCGAAGATGTGGGAGGAATTATACAATATTGGTTCCCTGCTGGAGTTCTCTATGTCGGCAAACATCTTACTGTCTTTGTATAGTGTTAACCAGAAAGGTTATCTGAACTTTCCATTTACTTGCCTATTGCTCTTAATCGAGTTTCCTCGATTGCTATTCAAGTCGCGTTTTTTAGTCGTCTCAGTCACAGATGATTTTGTCACTTAGACACATATGTAAACGATTGATGATTAGAGTTGACGTAAACGAGCACTAAGCCGTGTTTGGAATTGGTTATAAGCCCAGCGTCACATTGGAATTTATATCAAGGATTAAAGCTTGATTGAATAAGTGAACAAACAAAGCATGTGCAATTGAATGTAAAAAGAGCATACATTGTATACTACAAAAACAATGTTCAGCACTTTTCCTTGTCGCAATATTGTGCTTTATATTGTACCCAATAGCTTGCCGGCGGTCGTGTACATGCGAAATTATAAGAAAAGATCGAAATATTTACGAGACTTAACCCTGCATAAGTATTATTTTCTAGTAATCTGGCAGTTTTTAAATCCGTTTTCTCACTCCCTGCTCCCTATATACCATCAGATTAAGGGCTTAATTATGTTCCCAGTGTCGTTTTACTTTTCCGGCGCATTTCTCTGTTATCAGGCGTTCGGATTTTACAACCGAGAGATAGAAACAACAAAAATAGACCACTGTTAAAAATAACTCACAGAAATTGCTACCAATCTACCGAATCTTATCATCGAAGTTGTTCCCTATTTGACGTGCAGCGTGATGATACAAATTGGGATTAAGACGATTTAGTTAACCCTATCGATTATTTTATTTCATTCTGGGTGAAATTTTGGAACCGACCAAAATTGGCTGTCGAAGTAACCGATGTTAAATACTGATGAGTCTTCCAAGACAGATAGGTCGAATTGAAATTTTAAAAACGTTTAATTTCCACATCATCGATGCAATATAAATGTCAAAAAGTTAAAACGCAACTCCAGATTGACATCTTTAATTGTCAAAGTTAGAATTCTCCCATGCACTAGAAGGTATTAATATCAATTGGGTGAAACAATTAATAGAGGGTAATAATACATGCACATGCATATAAAGATATTAATGAGTAGGCAGTTTGATAGCTACCACATTCCGAAATGCCTATAGCAAGATTATAATGAAACCAGATTTAATTTTTACCTCGATTTTTACAATATTGTCAATAACGAACACTATTCATATATATATGGACTCAACATTGTTGGGTCAACAATACCATCCAACAATTTTAAAAATAAAATAGTGTTTTATAGATACTGTTTATTCTACAGATACTTTACAATGCCAATGCCAATGGCCAACTATGCAACTATAATGATGCTAAATAGGCTAAGCCGCGTAATCGAACGTTGGCGAGATAGCATGCATGCTTTTGAATTTAAATCACGCATGTCATGTCTTTGAAAAGGATTAAAATGTTCTCAACCTTAATTTAAATTATCCTGCTGCATGGACAGCGTTTTATACGGCGGATAAATACGCGTACGAGTCAGTGATGTAAAGTTAAACTAAGACAACTTGAGTTCATGACTGGATCATCCCTGCCCCTGGAGAGTTTTTGAACAACGAGCATCAGTTTTATTTACAGAAGACCTCCTAGCTATATATTTATGTTACATTTATTAAACTGAGAGACATGCAGAGTATATTCTTTTTAATTTCCCAAACAAATGCGGCTTTTGTCATGGACCAATAATTGGACCCATTCGTTGAGAGATTTACCTATAAATAAATCTATAGATATGGTTGTAAACGTACTTGTTAAAGAAGCTTTTTTGCATTCCCTGAACTTCACATATAGTTGAAACTTGAAAGAATAATATCAACATCAATAACTGCAATTTTGTTGTCATCACGGAATCTTAAGAAGTTAAGAACAAATAACTATACAACATGCACTTAACAGTATATAAATTAGTTATGCATAACTAACCATACGCAATCTATAAGTAACGATTTGCTCTTTTGAAACAATATCTGTCATGATCTACATTCTTATAATTAAAATGAAATGTATGGGCATCAAATTTCACTTATCTATACATAACCAAAATATGTCAGAGTACAAGTACAGCCTGCGCCACAGACGCGCGCCTTTAAATATTTTATATTACAAGATTAATGTAAGTACAACCCGTAATGCCTATTGCGAATTTTCCACTTAAAATTATATGTATTAATCCAAAGATATTCTTACTATGTATAGTATAGTATGAGAACATCCAGTAAAATTTGGATGACAGGTGCATGTTTTTTCTGTTGAAACATCCTAGAAAACAAAACCTATACTATATACCTGTCACTGACCAAGTTTGGAACCCTAAATTTCAGATATCATGCATGCATGCAAAAGTAAAATGATTGGTTTTATTATACGCTCACATGCCATTGACCAATCACGGGTTTCAATAGCGTCACGTGCATGCCCGATATTTTACGATGTAGGACAGTTCATATTGCACAGTAGCTTATCGTGCTAATTTTCTTGGCTTATTAAACTTTTTCAGATAGTTTTGACAATTTTAAACGCACAACAAACGATATCGCAAAGTAATGAAAAGAATTTGTGACATTATGACTGTTTTTTCTGCCAGTTTTGTTTAAAATTAAAAAAGCGCGGGAAAATATGAAATTAATTTTTGTTTACAAACAGTCGTGAGGTTTGTAACATATTATTTTTTCCTTAAATTAAATACACATGGAATTGAGTTTTTTATGCAAACTTGTTTTTAAAAACAAAGTTTATTGTTATGCATGTAAGCAAATTCGCCGCCGATGTGTGATACGGTTATCGCTGTATCAGTAGGCCCATTATCACTGATATGGACAACTTTTTGTTTATAGAATTGCTTTGTTCGATATAATAAAACACTTATTGGATTCGATCAATTCATCTTCGCCCAATCACGGCCAAATATTAAGTCTGGACTTCAATATTTTGCCATATTGGACTCAGAAGAATCCAATAAGGGGGCCAATATTACAATAAGATATAAAATACCTAACTGTATAAGTTATGTAACAGCTAGCTCAAGACACTTCATCAATTAGTCAATATATTCTGATTCTTTTATCAACTAATATAGATAAAGGTTAAAAAACTAAGGCTATTCCGAGAGTGCACATGTATGATCGGGCATATGGAATCAGGTAGAGAAAACGACCATTAGAGTCAAACCGTAATAATATAAACTATTTATTGCCATAAACCCATATTCTCTCATTGACAATCAGTCAAATCTGAAATTCAGTCTGTTCGATTTCATTTTCTACATGGGAAAGAGTGAATTTTACTTTTTCATTATATACAGCTCCCGCGTTCATGCACTTGATTCGATCTGTTAAATAATGGAAAATATTTTACTAGGCTACAAGGATGGACAATTTAATTTTAGTGCGGTAAAAACATAATTATACTAAACTAATTACACTATTTTGTCTATTATCACTATTAATACTTGGTGTAAGCTTTTTGATATCTTATGCTATCACATTTTTCGGGCGCCCTAATCTCCTTCAAGTTCAGAAAATACCCTAATATTTCCTCGAATATTTCCATATTTCGTTTTTGTAGGAACAAGGGAAGCAGCGTTTTTACGCGCTCTGTCCTCAGCAGCACTCGTATTCGCAGTGACTCAGCGTTGTGCAACAGATGGGGTATGCGATTGTGGAAAACAACCAAGACGCTCCTTGCTCAAGCGTCATAAACGAAAAAATCCTGGATGGAAATATGCATATGGAGGTTGTCATGATAACATTGCAGTAGGGACAAAATTCAGCATAGACTTTCTGGATGGTCATGAAATTCGACAAACGAAACACAATGATAGGAAGCTCACTAAACTTCATAACAATGACCTAGGGCGAAAGGTAGGCCACTGAGGAATTTTATTTATTAACTAATTAATTAGTATAGTTTGCAGTAACGTACGTGGACCCTCCGTCCATTTAATTAACAATACGAGTTATGAGACAAGATTCCGCAATCTTTTAGATCCATAGAGACGACTGAAAATTCTTTAAGCCGGTTTCTTAAAAGATTTGCTCGGATTTTTGCGTGTACAGTAAACAAATTACCCTCGTTACTTTACCCTATAACTGACAGGTTTTACTTGTTCGCTTGCCTTATTTTGTCTTCTTGTAAACGTGCAAAATGTTCCAATGCTGACCTCCCATGAAACGAATTCTTGTCGTATCCTATCTGCACACACGGACTGCATTTTCCTGTTTAATTAACTGCTATCGGCATGCCTTTTAGCCATGCACATTAAGCTTTATCAAGTGTCGATCGTGTGTGCGATTTATACAACGGAACAGTCCAACAATTCATTATCAAAACCTTTCAAGTTTTCTGCAAAATGCGTGATTTCAATAAAAAGTTCAATATAAAGTTGATCAATAAAAAGTTCAATAAAACGTTGTTCGACTGTAAACGGGATTAAATCAATGCAAATATACCAAACGGTTTTAGTATATTTATTAAATCAAAGAATTTTTTGCTGAGGGAACGCAAAGACTCGCCATTTCTAAGATTCAGCATTTCTATGATAATATGTGTATATAATATTATAGAATAGATTTTTTCTTCCATCCGTGTGCATTTTTACAAAATCCAAAAATTATAACCGTTTCTATATTTATATAATAATTACACTGGCCGCAGCCAGTGTCATAGAATGGCCATGGTTCTTTTTCGTGTTTTTTTTTGTTGTCCGCAAGTGTGACTTTCCATTGCGGCATCGTGGGCTCACGATTTCGCTAAAACGTGTTCAGGTGATTACGACAAGTCCTACACAATGTTGACTATTTAACTACGTTACAAGTCTTTGACGCTGTGATTGTGGGACGTATTTTATTATATTTCATTGCGCATGCGCTTGAACTTTTTCTGTGTTTTTCGGATAAGATATCCCTGAACTCTATTGGTTTTGTATGGATTTTTATTGTGCCTTACTCTGGATGTTTGTGATCATGACGTGACGGCCGTCAAGAAGTGACGAACATCTATATATTTAAAATTATTTTTTAGAATATTGCGGTGGTATTTTACCACAGATGTATTTTACCAACTGCGAAGGGTAGTGTGAACGCCTGAGCAGACGTCTTGTTAATTATAATTTGTCCGCTGTTGCTAGAGAAGTATCCGTGCATGCACTGAAGTGGTCGGCTCCTTTCCAAATAGTTTGTTTTATTGAATCAGAGTTATAAATACCATTATGAAGATCAAGTGTTTTCTTGGCAGTTGACCGAGTACCGCGGAGTGATTGTTGAGCTTAATTTCAGGATTCGTCCACGAAACTTTTAAATAACAGAACAAACACTGCTGAGCTTGGAGACGCCAAGGCTTGGAACGCATGCATTCATGACATTCTCACTCATACAGACCTCGCGCAATCAATAACTCATAATCCGATTAGGTTTCCAACAGCGAAAAGAGAAAAGGCCATGGTCATTGGGTCGACTAAAAAGCAAACACTAAATAAAAATGAGGAAAGTACTCCACTTTCCTTGGTTATCAACTTATCGGCATCGAACGTAAACAGGATTAGATAGTTAGAATGATCATGTCAACAAAGCGGAAAATTACTTGTAACTTTAATAGAAAGTACTATACAGTCTACACGTAAATATTTTCAGTACGTCCATGCCACTTGTGGTTATAATTGTGAAACTGTTATAGCAATTAAACTTCTGGAACAATACACTTTGTAAATCTGTATCTATATCATGTTAATTTAATTTGCGATTAGCATGATGTATTACATTCACTGAGTGTATATCGGTGCAGATACTCTATAGGACATGTGCACAACCATGAGTCAAGTTTGTTTTATATCATCAAATCCAGTGTAGCTATATATGTATGCATAATAATTAATATGTATAACAGGTACAACATTACACAACCATATAAGTCCTATTTTCATTCTTAGTAAAATTATCACTGATGAAAATGGAATAGCAAAATCTATCTTTTAATTGGAACTAAGATAGTTTATTTAATCGAAGAATAAACATTTAAAATGTGCCGAAAGGAATATCATGCATATATACTTGCTGCTATAGCTCAGTTTTGATGTGTCTTTATGACTTTATATACGTTTAAAGCATTGTACTCTGCTTGCGTTGAAACACAGTTTGTAGGGTTGAAAGAAACATTAAAACATAATAATAGTAATACAGAAATCAGCGGAGCATGAAATGCTATAATTGCTTTTCAGACGAACGCAATTGCGTTGTTATGATTTAACTTGTGATTATACTCGTATGTTCCTGTATATAGATGGTGCGCCACAGACTAGGCAATGCGGCACATAATTTCCGGCTATTCTATTGACCAATCTACACTTTATTAAATAAAGTACAATAAAGTAAATTTCGACTAAGTTTGGACTGGACTTATAGGACTGGACTTATAGGACTGGACCTCGGAGTTCTATTTCTTTATTTCCACCTTTTCTCCATTCCATGCAGTCAAGGTAGACCCAATAATATCGATTTACTAACCTTCATTTTCACGTGGAAGAAAGACATTATGTCAGTCGAACCTGTGATCGAACGACCTGTCTGCATAGTTCCTAGACGTGCAAACTCATTTTGGCTTTAGTAGAAGAATTTCTATTATTTATACCGTGGATTTTACTAATTTTTCGTGTTCTTCTCCCATGATATGAGTTTTCTGTTAATTTTGAATCATTTTGCTGAAATACTCATCTCATTTAATCCAGTCAGAATGTGCAGTCCTATACTTTTGAATCTGCCTTCTGTGCGTTGTTCATCGGTTAATTCGACCAAAAGGACTATACAAAATCTATAGAATCTGCTGTAAATAATTATCAATTATTGGACAAGGTTGAGCAAAATATCGTGACTTGTCGGTGGCGAGCAGATCACTTATTTGCTGATGCCGAAGGCAGAGGCAAATAATTGATTTGCGAGATTTATCATTCTCTTATAAAGCTTTGTTCGAATAAAGTTCGCCGTCTCTCTTTCTTGCTTCTGCATGCATCAGTAAAACTTGCGAAGGACGTTGGCAAGAGTTTCTTTTCAGCCAACTAGATCGTCTTTGTTAATTTGTTTTGCTTCTATATACTGGCGAAAGACATTGGCGGTTTTAGTCGCTTTTTTGTTTTTTCCGCGTTTTTTTCTTCAGGTAAGCAAGACAAGTCACCTTCCGAAAGTTCAGAGCCGCCATTGTTTACAAAAATTGAAGGCAATGCTCATGCCGCTCAGAGTACTATTTGTAGCTGAGCAACGTTTTTAACAAATGCGCATGTTCAGATTATTATTTGCACGAAGTTATTTGCATGTTAATTATTACCAACCAAAATTAAGAATACTATATTCTATATAAAGTGAATGATAATGCAAATTTATCTACTAAACGCCAAAGCCAGGAGTTGCACGTCTGGGCTGTGCTCGAGTGTTTTCCTTTCTTCTATCACCTATATGTATTTATGCAAAGGTATTATAAATAAATCTACTTTTTGCTTGAAGTCTGTTTGGTATATATGTTTTCAGGCATCTACGTCAGTTTATACCTCCATTAGTTTATCGCAGGCGATCAGGGGCACGATCGCGATACATTTTTAGTTACATCGCCATTTTGAATACGTAATCATTTGGAGACGAAGAAACATATTCATTTCAGGTTAGTGGAAAAAATAGTAACCCGAAGTCCAGTCGAAATGCAGTCCAGTCCTATGGCATTTACTAAGAAGTTGAAATAACCGCCATTTGTGAAAGGTAACAGTTCAAGTATTCGAACTGCATATTATTAAAATAACAAACCACTCAGACGTTGTTAATGGCGGACAATATGCGGTCAGAAAAACAAACAAATATAAGTGTTATTTTAATTTGAACCATGTATTACGTCAACGAGGGATGAACTAAAATCGTGATTGCCTGAAACCTTGTTGCCTCTAATAATTAGATTTCCTAGGTGGATAATCAAACCCATGTGCTAGCTGCACCCCGTTTCGAAATAGTTTATATAAAGTCTGCTTACAATCAACCGTATTATGTGCACGCAAATATGCAATCATTGGGCCACTCGAATTCAATGAATATACAACTAAATAACAAAAAAGGAACTCACATTACCACCGATATAATTTGTGCGTTTCACACTCGAAAGTTTTACATAACTATATAAGTAGTAACCTTTATACTCAATTATGTATAGGCTATAGCTTTTCGCGGTTTGCTGTGTCTATACACATGCAGGTAGTTAAGATTTGGTTAGGGGCTCTAAAATTGTGTTGTATACTTGTATAACACCACATTTACAAAGATATGCAAAATGGCTTTCGCTAGATACCTTAGGTGATACCTTAGCTTCACAATGTCATGAACATCAGTGGTGCATCCTTAGGACAGCAATGTATAGACGCTATATAAGTATCATCATTATTATTATAATAATCTTTTTTTATCAATATCTCGATCAGTACCGATTTTTCTATATCAAATATTTATTTTCACCCTTCTCACAGCGCATCCTTGCTCGTTAAGCGCCATTTTATATTACTGGAAACTAAAAATGAAATATTTCCAAGATTGGCGACCTAGCTACTTTTTGGGAAACACATGTTACAGTAATGTTATCTCTTGGTAAGCCTAGGCTATAGAAACAATACCAAACGCAAGAATTGGATACTCCTGGGACAGTGTCGATAATGACCTCTATTTCGAATGTGTATTTTAATACATACTTTATAGAATTTACCCAGCGGTCAGCAAGGTTTGAAGTTTCTGTTTTTTTTCTCTAATTGGAGATTGGGGCAGAGTTCAATTTGTCCAATTTTGATTTTATTACAAAGTGAACCGGTCGTTCTGCACTAGTTACATGTAACGTTTTTGGCTCGTTTTGGTATGTGCACTAATACTATACTCCCTGTGGACTACTATAATAGTACAGGTATTTTATTTATCATTAAATTCGAAAAGTTCCTTAGAAGGTGCGAGATCATGTGTCGAGTCATTCCTCCATAATTGAGCTGAGCTGTTAATTATTATCGTCTCAGCTGCGTGCGGCCCAGACAAACGTCTTCGAATATTCGATTATGATGCAAAGGAAAATTGTCGGTCGCCTTTGCTTTATGAATGCCGAAGACGTTTGTCGGATGTGCTGACAAAAGGTGACTTAAGGAATAAATTGAATCTAATAACTGAATTAGAAAATGTTTTGTCTGTTGGAAAATACTCTTTATAAGTGTCTGATATTTACCGATATCATTCATAGTTTCCAAGATGCTACATAATTTCAAAAGTGTACATGCAGATCTTAATGTATAGAAATAAAATAATTACTCATTATGTTAGTAGACTATTGCATCCAAAAATTTTGTGCTATTTAATGAATTTGAAAGGGCATTTTAATTTCTTTCCAATATGCTTGTGGTGAATTCCAAACGTGTCCGCATGCAACCACTGTTTTATATTCTTTTATCTGCTATGCTCTTTGACTTTGGCGCTTTTTATATTATATATTGTTAATTAAAGCGATTCAGATAGTGCTGTATAAACTCCGGGTTTTTCACCTCCGGCTCCGGCCAAAAAACTTCGGTTCCGGGAAAAAAACTCCGACTCGGGCAGAACATTTCCAGCTCCGGCAAATTCGTGAAAATTCGAAATTTAATGGAAATTTCACATTTCAAAGTGGAAGCACTATCTTTGTTCTTGATTTTAACACTTCACATAAACACTTCGTACCATGTTTGTGGCAAGCTGGATTATCAATGCGAGTATTTTCTTTTTCGCCGATGTTCGACAGTAGTTTGCAGCACAAATAAGTGCTGCCTGAGTTTTGCTGGAGTTTTGCCCGAGTCTCCATCACCATCATCATCCCGTTACACCTCATCTCTGCCACTTCCAATTTCTTCATATGCTCTTCCTTTATTGCCCAGGTCTCTGCAAAATAGGCCAAAAAATCCGGCTCCGGCCCACAGCACTAGTTTCAGATTTTCATTATACGTAGTTGTAGCATTTGCAAGTGTGGACAAGAGTGGCTGGGCCGATTGCGAGTATTTATCAGTATAGTTTTCTCCCGTAATACCATGATTGCCTCGATTTTCATTGTTCTGAAAGGGAATGTAAATCCCATATTTACCTCATTACTCATGCATACGCTTTTGTGACGTTTGTCTTCTAAATTTCCCCGGGAGGGAATTTAGTGGAAAACAAAATATTTATTTGTTTTCTAATTCGCCCCTGCATGCCGTGATGAGGGAAAATTAGAAGACAAAGAAATCTTTTGTCTTTTACTAAATTTCCCTCTAGTAACCAATCGTACCTCATAAATTTCGAATGAGGTGTGATTAGAACTATTCGTACCACATTACCTTTCCGCATAGAAGAAGCGCACTATATAAATAATGTTTTATTAAAACTATAATATTTTCTTTGAGCAAAGTTTTGTTTCACTACTTTCAAACTTTTGCCCATATGGCCATGCATACTGTAAGCATTTGCGTCAATGCTCGATGGTGATGATGAGCGAAAAAACCTTGCGTAACACTGGTATACGCGTGTCATGTTTGAACTATAGTTTGAAAGATTTCAGTAGTTTAATTCCCCGCGCGCCGATATTTGTGTATTTTTATGCATGCAGGCTGCAGCTATGCGGATTATCTCTTGCAATATTTCCAAAGAGGACTACATTGGTCTATATTATATTAAATTAGTGCTTAAACTTTAAATTAAAGTATCATTATATACCTCTCCCTGCAGGAGTTTGTTTTTCCTGCAGGAGTTTAATTTTGTTTTGTTGTTTGCCTGTCCACACAAATATAATTTGGTAATAGTTTACTCATTAACCAAAATATTCCGATTTTCGGTTTATGCGTGAACAAAGCCATTAAATGTAGATTATAATATGATTATACAGGTCGTTTTAAGGCGGAGTGAGTGCAGTGTAGTTGTTAATTCCACGGTGTTTCGTAGGGCACTACTCCATTGTTTGCTATTCCGGCTCAGAAGGGTTATGTCACGGTTCGTACACTGAAAGCGAATTCTCTTAAAACATGTTACCGTGAACTCTCTTCATCGATTTTATCAAGAGCAGAAAAGATCGCCAATTTCATGGAACTGTGCAGCAAAATAAATTATTTCACGAAGAAAGTCTTATGGAAGACATCGTCGTTCAAGATGAGGGAAAGATTTATATATAGATATTCAACGGCGACCCAGTATCGATATGAAATGATCCCAACTTCACCACGAACTGAATTTGGAATTTCATACACGTAAAACAAAAATATATCTCAAGTTATCTATAACAGTTACTTCATTCGCATATTTTTTGCCTTCAGTGTAAGTATATTCTTCAAATCTTTTCTAGTTCTTGATTTGAAATTTATGGTAGCTACGTGACATAGCCCTTCTTAGTCAAAATTGAAGAGTGTATTGTGATCTATTGATCTTTTCTATTAACAGATTGTCGAGAGAAGTTTAAACATCACATGCCGCTGTCCAAATTTCGAGCAATGTGCGACAAAAGAGTGCACACGTATGTTGATTGTTCCGTTCAGCAAAATCGCCGAAGATCTCTTCGGTCGTTACCAGCAAGCGAAACTAGTAACCGGTGAAAAATCTAAATCTGCAAAGTTTGGAATGGTTCTCAAAATCAAGAACGATGTTCGAAGTTATAAAAAGCTACGGAAAGTTGAAGCTCGTAGTATGGTCTATCTGTCCAGATCTCGAGATTTCTGTCTTGCAGACGTTCATAATCCTTACAAGTATCCTGGTACAAAAGGTCGCGAATGTGCTATGAGACTGAGATCTAATATAAGAAATCTTGCCGAATACAACCCAACATTGTCACTTAATTTCAACGTTTGTGCAAACTTATGTTGTGGACGAGGGTCCTTAACAAAAAAAGTAGAAAAACAAGTGACTTGTACATGTAGATTTTCCAAAACTAAGATGGATGTAGTTTGCAAGGAGTGTCCCGTGGATGCAGTATATCATATATGCAATTAACTTAAGTAATACAGGTTCATTGTGAAATAAGTCTCTTTATTATACTATATATATTTTCTAATCGAAATGTTGACTCATTGTCGCCACTACTCTGCATTTTAGTGAATCTAACGAACATTATCATGGCTCCGGTAACTATATATATTAGAGACTCTTGGATTTAAGAAGAAAAAAGGTCAATTGGCAACTATATTTTTGATACTATAAAAACATTTCAGTTTAAATTAGATACAGATACAGATATTGCACAGCACACTTCCTATCAGGGTTTTTCAGTGACTGGTTACATTAGAACCACAACTGGCGTGAAGCAGACCGAGGTAGATAAATTTTCGTGCAGGTTAACCTATAGAAATAACCCTGTTTGGGTTAATATTCGTGGTTAAATTTCCTGGTTGTTTTAACATTTTTCCTATTATTTTGTTACTTTTCACCGAATCTATATATTTTCTTTAAAAAATATACATAATATCAATATAGATCGCTATATTATTTCAATGTTTGACGACGACACCACACGCTTGAGCCTTGATAATTAGCCGTTGAAAGACTTCACTTATCTAGCTTAAAATTGACGATTGAGAAAAATATTACTTATTTTAAGGATGCTGAATCGTAGATCTAGCATGAGAATGATGAGATATATCCTGTAATGAATGTCCAAAAGCTTTTATGTCAATATTATATACAATATAATATATACAAATATATAATAGTAATATATAAGTAATAGGTATAGATAATCTAGATATGTATATACTCAACATTTTAATATATGATATACTTTATGACCAAAAATATATTCAAATAAATTATCTACTACTTTTTACTGATCGTGTTATAAATTGAGGTTTTGTATTCAAATAAATTATCTATTTTTTTTTTACTGATCGTGTTACAAATTGAGGTTTACAAATTGGTAATGAATGCCGTAAATCCTGCGAAAAGCCAGTTTTCCACTTCAAGCGTACACGGTACCGAAGCGTATCAAAAACATTTTTAAATTTCAAAATTTAGTGAGTGCTGATTGGTTAATACTTCCGTAGTACGCCAAAAGGTTGGAAAAAAACCATTTCATTTTCTACTTTTATTAGACAAAATTAATGACTCGGCTAAATTAATGATTAAATTAATTATCGACAAAATTAATGATTCGCAAAATGTGTGAGAATGTTCTTTATAAAACTATTAAAACTAAACTTATAAACCTTTATCGATAAACTTTGAGTTTGAAATAAAATGATTTCAAATTCTTGCAATGCAAATAACTTTGGTCATAAAAAATGGTAATCAATAAAGATACACTGAAATTATATGCTGTCTTTCTGATTATACGCAACGATCACCTTTTGGAGCAATTATATAAAACAAGCAATACATCAATATTTAAAACAAACTTACCTTCATTAAGGTTACAGAACACCTTTGAGTGTTAATTTTGCCTAAAATTTTTTTATTGGTTTCCATGAAAGCATTAGACTAGTTCTACTATCTCACCAAGTTTGGACGAAAAATGTTGAAAACTCGCAGAGTTATTTAATAAAATAGATTTCGCTTGCAATAAGGCCCCGTTTACATGAGACCGGGACGAAGTCAAACCGGAATGGAAATTGAAATTGTCAACATGTTTACATGAGACCGGTACGAGGATCACAAAATCTTCAATTTATTCCCCTTGCCATGCAATTTTCTTTTTCAGGTGGCTTTTGCTATAGCATGTGTTGTTCCAATGTCAAGATTACAGCCGAGACCGGTCTGAAATGTATTTGTGTTTACATTCATCCCGGTCTGAATTCATGCCGGTCTGAAGTCAGTCGGTTCGGTCCAGAAGACTTGAGACCGGTCTGAGTTATTTTCGTCCCGGTCTCATGTAAACATATATTATAGATAACACTATGACCGAAACGAGATGGTCCCGGTTTGACTTCGTTCCAGTCCCATGTAAACGGGGCCTAAGAAAAACATTGAAAATGTAATATTCAAATTCAATTTTCTCGCGAAGAATTTTACGGCAATTAGTGATTTTTAAACGAGTTGTGCTCCTGCGGGTTTTAACGAATTGTTTTCAAATTTTCACAGGACATAGCTAAAGACGTCAGTTTCAAAACTGTTTTCGGCTTTGTTCTAATTTTGGATATTTTAATAATAAGCTAGGAGCAATTCACACAAACGATTCAGAAATATATTGCAGTCGTCAAAGAAATCGCCATATCAGCGGAATGACGAAATAAACAAAAATTTCCGAACATAATTTTTTAAAACAACTATTTTACTGTATAAAAATGATATTTTCATAAATATATCTTAAAACCAGCAGGAACTCAAAAGCGTAAAGGTACCGCGACTTAATATTTTCCTGAATAATTCTTACATTATTTTATTGTTTGTCAATTTTACAACTTTATCATATTTTGCATGCACTGGCTAACATTTGGTGAAAACTTGATGAAAATCGGACTGATTTTGAGCGCGCAGTAGCGATTTTCCACAAAACGCCAAAAAGGGTGTCCTGTAACCTTAACGTGGGCGTCTTTTCTGAGTTTGTTTCCTTCTTGACTTTATAGTGAACAATTCTTTCGCCTCTTTTCTCAAAAAGCTTTTCACATTTACAAAATCTTGCAAAAATTAAATATATTTGCAAGAAATCAAGAAACAGTGTGACCAGATTTTTTTCAACAGTCATTACCAACATTTTGTTCAAATTTTACTAAATTAAAAAAAATGTGAACAAATGTCGGCTCCCCAAATAATTACGTCACAATAATGCCAAAAAACAATAGTTGCGTCATCAAAGTAGAAAAAATATGCACAAAAAGGTATCTCGAAATACTTGTTGCTTTCATCGTATTGCAGTTTTTGCTAATGATAATTAAGGCTTTATTTCTTAGGCTTGGCAGTTCTGTTCATCACTTTGAGCACGTTATTAAACAAGAAACACATATTTTTACCAAAATGATTATTAATACTTAAAACCTTTCAGCCATTTTACCAAAATGTTAATACAAAAAAAAACGTATTACCAATAAGTAGCAGGAGTGATTTAGATGTCTGCCTATAGCGTTGGAGAGCATACATTGATGGCCTATGCCAGGGGCCGAAGGGCCTACATATCGAAATATATAACTCAGCGTATAAGATGGCTAGCTGTCAATGTTCAAATGTTGTAGTACTCGAGTCCCGGTCTTGGACTCGAGTCCGGACTTGAGGGCATGACTCGGACTTGGACACATCGGACTTGGACTCGATATCAAAGAATTCGGACTTGACACCTCCGGACTCCTGGGAATTTAGGTCAAGTCCTGTACGAGTACACCACTTAAATTTCCCCGTTGATACAGGGTGTATATTCTCATTGCGTCGAACAAATTATGGCCTCTATTGCCACCCCGCGTTACTACAGCCCAAATTGCTGAAAAGATCTTTTTCGCGACAGGAATATCACTATAGTCTGATCTGTTTGCACTTTGCAGTGGCGTAGCCAGACCTTTATTTTTTGGGGAGGAAGCAAACGCCGAAGGCGTGAGAGTGCCTAGGGGGATACGGGGGCATACGCCACCGGGAAAATTTTGAAATCTAGAGTCCCTGAAATGCGATTTCAAGGGACTTGGACTCGTACTCGGATTTGAATCAATGTCTAGGACTCGGACTTGGACTCGTAAGTTGTGGACTTGACTACAACACTGCTAGCTGTCGAAGCATGAATTGAGTTAAAAAGGACAACGAATGAGCAACGTCTGATGGGGCCCAGGCCCAATGACGGATAGCTCAATATTAATATTTTCCCCAAAATTGTTCGGGGGGGGGGGGAGAGAGGTCTCCAATTTTATCCTGAATTACAAATTTTTTTCTGGACATATCGTAATTTTTCCAGACACAGACGCATTGAAAAACGCTACTAATTTTGTTGCCAAGGTAACAATGTCGTTCCCAGGCCCCTTGCGCCAATTTTATAAAACAGCTTTATTCATGGTACTGATAAGGATAAAATCAAATCAGAAGTATGCGTACCATACCTAAGCATGCCAAAAGTTTACTTGCATGATAATAATTCGAAAATGACATACACATAGATAAATGCAACTAGTTATTCAAAATCAGTGTAAAGGGCCTGGGAACGACTGTGTTGCCTTGACAACAAAATTAGAAGTATGTTCCCATGCGTCTCATCATGTACTATCTGTATGCAAAATTTCATTTGATTTGAGATAATAATAACTTAGCTATGCTTTAGTTTACTATTCAATAAACATACTTACCCAACTAATGACGTCACACGTTGTGCTGAATCAGCAATTTATATTTTACACATTTGTGCATATAACTTCGGAACCAGATGAGATAGAATAGAGCAGTTTCATGCTCTTTCAGATAAATCAATAAAAAAATTTATTGCCAATGTCCTTTAAGTAATTCACTGTGGTGTTGATCAATAAGCATAAATTTCAAGCTCGAATGATCCACCTCATGTACATATATCAATAAAATGATTGGTTATACTGCATGTCCGGCGCTCATGCTTAATGTGTGATTTGTCGTTACAGTAGCTAGTCTGGACTTAAAATTGGCAGTGGAGCCAACACCTTGCAAACCACAGCGTACACACTCAGCAAGTTACACTACATTACTAGAAGTGTACGTCAAAGATTTTAAAATAAGAAATATCCTTCCAGTGGCAGCTGCACGAAAAGAATTGCCGAAAGTCAAAAAGTTCTTACAACTGTCACAGCGCTTGGCATCACATTTGTAACAGCCTTGACTTTCCAGTTTATTAGGCTTATAAGGTTTGGATGGTGCTAATAACTCCTTCAAATTAGCATTACGCTTATTGGCAAAGTAAAGCAACAGTAGGGATGCATTTGCAAGCTTTATAATGGGTTAAGATCAAAACACTGAAAATATTACATTCAATGCTTTACAAATTCTTCTGTAATTCTAATCCTTATTAGTGTATTAAAATGCTAACATATCTTTGAAGGCATTCGAATGTTTAATATATTCATATCGTTGCGTTTATATATTATATACCCTTGACAAAGGTCTAGTTGAGTGCCAAATTATATGCCAAAGGCAATTATTGCTATTAAATTGTTATTACAGGTAAACTACGTGAAGCGTTCCTCTTTTGAACAGGAAGTTAGGAAATTAAAACAGGAAGTTAGGAAAATTTAAAATGAAGTTTGGAATATTGCAACAGCCGATAGGAACGTTGCAAATTCCCTCAAGGGATTTGCAAAGAGTTTTTCAAATTTGCAAAGCTAATGAGGAAAATTCCAAATGAGTTACGAAGTCAAAAGAGGAACGCTTCACGTAGTTTACCTGTAATAGTGTGTAATTTAGTACAGAATTTGCTATAATGGATTCGAATTGATATTTTATTCTTTCTTTCCTTATCAGAAACCAACATTTCGTAGGTTTTTTATTCAAATTGACGCGGCAAATTCAAACATTCAACGGAATTTTAGGCAAATGACTCAAGACTCTCAAGTAAACAATCACATATTGATATTATTCACTACATTCTTTCGCAATTAAAGTGCTTAAATAACAAGTCAAAATAAAATATTCTTACCTGTGAGATCTGAATAACATTTTAAGACCTTTCCGATGCCTTTTCCATCGTTTCAGATAGAAAAATTTGATAAATAAATTGTAAATATCAACTGGAATGCAAGCACAAAAAAAATTGAATTTTGAAACGACGCTATCCCGTGAACCTTCGCGCTCTGATACGTATAGGCACCAGGATCCAGGCGCCCAGACAAATGCGCGAACTACTGCTGCTTGCATGTCTGCATATTTTCAATTTTTATCTATAATAAATTATCGGAAAGTCATGAAAATTCCCTGCAATTACTCAATAAAACACGAGAAAAACTCAAACTTTAGAATGTAAATTAGAATGTATTGTAGTATGGTATCAGGGGCGACGGAATGTAGGTGCAAGATCTCCTTTCCTGCAGGAGGGGGACAAATGTAGCATATTAATATAAAGTAAAACACAATATTGTTTCCCAAATTTACCTTAACAAATTAAATAACAAAGATAAATATGATAGAGGAGAATTGTTATGTTTAAGTTTAATTAATCTTGATGACATCAGTCATGCACAGACGCAATTAATTCCGAGTTGCGAATTCTCTCCTGAGTATGCAAAAATACAGGGACCGCGGAACAGAGGGGCGGGGGGCATGGCCGCCCAACTTTTTCAATGGATAATAAAAAATTACCAGATAAAATCCAGCCTGCTTGCGTGGAATAGCTCCCGTGTTACCCTGCCCCGCCCCCCCACACAGGCTCCGGGTCCCTGTTAATACAGATATCTAGTTTACAATACAATACAGATTATTCTAAAAGCCATTCCTATAGTTCCTGTAGTTAAATTTTAACAAATTTAAAATTTTCTTTCTTCAAGAAAATTTAAGAAATAATTTCTTATGTTAAGAATTTATACAAAAGAAGTTATATATGCCTTAAACACCAGAATTGAATGCCATTCCTATAGTTCCTGTAGTTAAATTTTAACAAATTTAAAATTTTCTTTCTTCAAGAAAATTTAAGAAATAATTTCTTATGTTAAGAATTTAATTTCTTGTTTTAAGAAAGTATTTCTTAAAACAAGAAAATCATATTTTCTTAGGAAAATGATTGAATATGAAGATGAAAAAATCGTAAGAAAACATATTCTTGTTTTAAGAAAACAAATATGATGCAAAATATGTTAAGAATTTTTTTTCTTATTTCAAGAAAAAATATCTTGCCAATCAAATATTTCTTATTTTAAGAATCGTTTTTCTTATTGCGAAAATCAGTTTCTCATTTTAAGAAATAATTTCTTAAATTAAGAATTTTTTTCTTATAATAAGAAAATGATTTTTTGCTGTGTATACGAAACAAGAATGGAACCCCCTGGTAGAATTTTTTTAGCCTGTTCATCACTATCTAAATTAAACAGAGCGATGTTTACGAAAATTTTCAGGAGCACTAGGATTAAATTTGGTAACAAAAACACAGGAATTACGACGAACTTTACATTTACTAGTACGCGCTTCCTCACGAGTCATGGCACCAACCACCTCAAAGGCTCCATTAACATGTGCCCTGTCATGGCCGCAATCCGTAAGATATTTCATATAAATCCTACTTTTCTCCCAAAAATCAGCGTCCCTAGAACATATGCGACGCAATCTTGGGTGCGACGAATTGGCATATATATATATATATATATATATATATGCCATTTAATCTATAATATTTTTCTTTTCTTTCAACAGATTGTTCGTAACAGTTATAAATAAAATTTTAAGATTGAAATTTGTTGTTTATGTCTTTTTATTTGCTCTACTGATTTATTGGTGTTGAGCACTCTAGTTCACTACGCACAAATTCAATATTGAATATATATATATATATATATATATATATATATATATATATATATATATATATATATATATATATATATATATATAGGTGGATTATGCCGGGTGGTAATCCATAATATTTTTCTTTCTTTCAACAGATTGTTCGTAACAGTTTATCACTAGATTGCAAATGCCATGGGTTGACCGGAGCATGCTCCATACACACCTGCACTCGCTTTTTGCCACTAGAGTTCAGCCTAATTGCGAAGAAAATTTTTGAATTATACAAGAAAGCGTTACAAGTTGAACTTATCTATGTTGGCGAAGCCAAGAAGGAACTTGTGATCAAGAAAAAAAAGCAGGGAGAAAAACAGAAAAAACTGAAGTCTAACGACATGGCATATTTATTAAAGTTAAGGGATTTTTGTGTCCCTGAGACCAAGAATAAGCTACCTGGTACAAAGGGACGAGCGTGTGGACATAAATTTATTGGCAATTTTAAAACAGCACCATTCGTAAACACAACAGCAATTAATGTGTGCGACCATTTATGTTGTAAACGAGGATATAGTACTACGACGAGAAACACCCCAAGATTATGCAGATGCAAGTTTGATATGAAGATAATGGATGTGAAATGTAAGACTTGTATTTTGAGAAAAGAAATATACTTATGCAGGTAGCTTGCATGAGGTTTCTCTTAATTTAGAGCAAGTTGCGTTGTGTATACAATTTTCTCTCCACCCGCACCGTGCACTGAATTCACGAACACGCTCCAGAATATTGGGATAATATATACTTCGTAAATGTACTATACATTATTAGAAACATGTCTTACACTTGTGTATATAGGAGGTGGTTTATATACGAGTGTGTTTTGGTTCACGAAATGCTAAAGAGTGTTCGATATCATATATAGATAGGGCAGATATGTAATAGTTTTTTAACTCAAAAGGTTGCCACAACAGCCTGTTTCATCAATGATTCTTCTTGGATGAAACAGACTGTTGTGCATGGGAACCTTTCGAGATCATCGACTTCAATCTCCCTCAATAGCTTTTAAACTTTGTGTTCATGCACGGAATATTCAATTTGCATGGGAAGAAACAGAGATCCTATGGCGGGAACACGCCCGAGAATTTCGGACCAAGAAGATCTAGAATGGGCAGGTTTAACCTATATTGTGAGTATCTCAAATTTACATACATATATATGTAATAAATTTTTCATTCCCCAAGTGGGAATCTTAGAATAGTGTGAATTAAATTAACCTATTTATTAAAATGATGTATGCTTGAGGACAAATGTACTTTACATGTAATTTCTATAATATTATAGGTAATGAATGTAACTCTGCACGCACCAATGCACTTTTGTAAATTTCACATTCATGTTACACAACAAATATTAAATATTATAGACTGAGACATATTACCTAATTAAGGTTTGATCTTTCATCTGATATTTAACAATTATTGAATGAGGCTGAGCAGAATATGAAGAATTATGATGGAGTATTCAACCACAGGTTTTGATAGTTTTTGATATCATGGGAAATTAAGCCGGATTCAATAATTATTTTACTATTTATTTAATCCGGTCTGTAGTATACGCAACTTTGTTGCTCAGTGATTAGAAACAAATTTTCTGAAAAGACGGCTTAGTATAGTCATCTGATTGGTCATTCTGATACGTCAAACGCATCTGATTGGTTAATGATCTCTCTATGGTAGCGGAAGTGGAATTCAAATCCGAACGTCTCTAATATAATGTTAGGCACTACATGTGGCACTAAGCCACTAACAATTACATAGAGTTACTTTATTCGTTATAGCTGCGATTTTCCCATAAAACATCTTCATTTGGGGATTTTATCTTTCTCCATATAATCTTGCATGTTAGCCAGGAGACGTGTATCATGAGATACAGTTCCATCATGCAAATTATAGTAGTAACGTGGTCATTCACAGTCAGTCTCAAGCTGTGCAAAGTGCTTGCAAGAGCAACGAGTGTGCTCTCAACATGAACGAAAATAGAACAAACTCCATAGTAAATCATGAAGAAATTCGCACGCGTGTGGCCGTTGAGTATAGCCAAGAAAGCTATATGGCATACAGTGCAAAGAATATTGTTAATAACTTGTCCAAAACACTGAAATGGAAGAACAAAGGGAGTCACCAGTCCAACGCAAAACATCCTAGAATATCCCATCAGCCACGTGCTGTAGCCGGGACCAATTTGATTTTTTATATTAATATGAATACTCCAAGAGCCATTAAACAGGTACTTGCTGAATAAATAGAAGTTCACTGTTCGAGTAACGTTCCATAGTGGGTATGAAACTTCCAGGAAAAGGTATGACATCAAGTTAGTTTTCCGTAAAGTAGGGCAGTAGTGAAATCTAAAAAATCAAAACTTCTCAATAGGCGCGCCGGGGGTGACGGGAAGTAAGGTATCATATTGTTGATTATGCTGAATAATTTCAATACAAACTGCCGAAACAACCGAAATATTTCAATATTTACAAGTATAAGCTATTACTCCATGTTTACACGGCCATCATTTTTATTTTTCAGCATAATCAGCAATATGATACCTTACTTCCCATCCCCCCTGCACGCATAAATTAAAAGCTGGAATTGAATATTGGAAATCCACTTATTGCCGAGTAAAACGTCTTAGGGATTGTCAATACAGGCATTTGCTATCCGTAACATTATAGTTATAGCCTACTTCTCCAGATATACTGTGCAATTTGAACACATATCACCAAAATGGGTTTTGTCAGCTATAGTTTAGGACAGTGAGAATTGACCATGATGCATGTACTACACTGCAACGCTTAACTGAAATACGTCCTGTTTCTTCAGAGATCTATGAACAAAAATGTAACCTATACCGAACCAGTTGATGCATGCCGTAACTCACAAACCACACGCCCTCAGGGCCGTCGCTAGGTGGGTGGGGGTGTGACACCCCGGTCTGAAAACATCTTGTCGGCAAAATTAAATATTTTGACGATTTTTACATTGTTCGTCTTATCAAATTTGATCTCCCCCCCCCCCCTCGACACATATTTTGAAAATTTTTACCTTTTGCCGGCAAATACAATACCACATCCCCCTGGTTAAGCCTCTTTGCGGCGGTCCTGCACGCCCTGTTCTAATAGACGCCACAGTCAAACCATAATCAGGGCGTAGTAAAACACAGTTTTACAAAATTATGGCAGGGCGCTGTAAAACACTGTTTTACTACGTTTTAAAAAACGTAGTAAAACAGTGTTTTATAGCGCCCTGCCATAATTTTGTAATAGACGGCCATCTTTATTAAACGCCCCTTACTGTTTATTAGATTTAAGTTTTGAAATAATATTTGAATATTTTAAGTTTTCTCACCCGGCCCCAAACGAATTCAGATTATGACCCATCAAATGTGGATGCAATATATAGGTTCATTTGCATAATTTTTTATAATTTGAAAAATAATTCATTTTTTGATTGTTCATTTTCAAATACTCATTTGTTCATTTTAATGATTTGAAACGTACACAATTTAAATATTTTGGTGTTGTAAAATTTTATCCGCTAACTGGTGGTACATATCTTTACCTTATCGTTGAACCAGGATATCCATAGCCCGTTACCATATAGTTCAACACTGACACTGGACTTGGTAACGCGACGACTAGAGCTGTTACACTCAAAACCAACAATATAAAATACCTAAAATATATCCATATCCATAAACATAATTTCTCAGTGCATGGGAACTTTTCAAAAGGCATTGAATGGTTTTTCAACAGGAATTTGAGTTTTCTTTATTTTCAAGTGTATAATATATCGCAATTATAAACAACCAAAGAAACAATCATAAAACAGTTACCTTGGAAAAGAAAAATAATTTTCATTTGAATCATTATAGAGGTTTCGCACACGAAAAAATAATGAATGCATCCAACGCATTGGGCCGTTAATGAACCAATAGATACTCCTACATAACACAAATTAAATGGTGTAAATATAGGGGAATATCGTTGGTCAAATTGAGCTAATTTTCTGCCACTCGTGCGTGCTCATATTGTCAGCGGATATCTGGCGCAAAATTGACAGCTGTGTGCAACTTTCAATTTTCATTGCACTTTCAATTTTCATTGAAAGTCCGCTGGAAAAATGGCCCTGTTGTTACTGGGATATGACCAATCTAGATTATTGGTCATCATCTTAATTCTTCTAATTTTTAAGTTGCACGACGCCGATTAAATTAGTTTATTACATGCATGCATAATAATATCCATGCATTATAATTTTTACTATCCTCGCGTGGCTTTACCTGGCCCACAGACGTGGTACAGCGACCACAGTCCCGCTCAAAGAGAACAAGATGCTACAAATAAAAGATGGCACCAGCCATTGAATGATTGCTTTTGATAGCGGCGTAATTCGTCTACAAAGTGAACATATATTAGGTAGATATTAAACAAACCAAGATGTTTCAAGATAATCAAATTAATTATATAAACCATGGTATGCCACAGGATTGTCTGGAGATGGATAATTAATATCTTAATACTTTATTATAACAGGTACATTATACTCATTAGCTTTGCCGACTGAAATACATTGATTTCGTCAATATGGACAAAAAACGGCTACATGCGGACTAACACAAATTTTCATTCCTTATTACCAGAAATACATGCATGCAGGCAACAACCCTCGCATTTTCAAACCAAACAATCATATATAGTCTCCGACAAAGAATTTTTCAATATAACCATGCATTTCCTGGAAACAATTAAAGAAAATGATTATGAATTATAAAAAAGATTTTCTTTAAAAATCAATTTCGGCAATTTTATTTTAACTTGGTTTAGCATGAAGTACTTCCAAATTAGTGATTGTCATGGTAACGCTATCATGTCTTTATATATATATATATATATATATATATATATATATATATATATATATATATATATATATATATATATATATATATATATATATATATATATGTATAGAAACTCCATAAATTTCAATTATGTAAAATTCAACCCTTTTTGCGAGAATCTTTGCTTGAAATGAGGTATTTCTCTATTCCCTTGAATTATGAGTTTTTTAATATATAAAAAGGTTATTTTAATTAAAAAAATTATATCTTCACTTAAATTAATTTAAAGGAAAACAGTATACCGGGTGGCGCAAAAAAAAGTTAACCTGTTTGATTTGTTTTAACTTAAAAGCTAAAAGAGCTATTACATGTAAACTACGTGCATTGTATTCAGTATTGTCTAACTTAAATTTTGATATACGCCCTGTGCATTTTCGTGCAATATTGACCGAGAGAGTTGCGTTTAAACTTGAGTAAACATTTCTGAAAGTGTCGATAATTAGCCAAAAACGGCCTATCAAATATTTAATACAGCCATAACCTGTGCTTAGACGCACTATAGTCAGAAAGTACACGTTCGTTGTCAGAGACCTGCCCAACGTCGCCGGTATAACCTCACGAGCATTATTTACCCTTACATATTCTAAACATGTCAAAACTCTTTGGTCATTCGTTAAACGAGGCGTATTTATAAAAAAAAACAACACTTGACGTTTCTTTCTTGGAACATTAGAATTTAATTCCCCAGGGTCATTGGATATTTAGAATAAATCTTTTAATCAAAATCGCATTAATTTTTCGCGTAATTTAATCGCGTAATTAATTTTCATGCATGCATGCATTCCCAAAGACCTTAAACAAAAATAAAAGAACACCTCCATCCTATAAACATTTTTAATTTAAACTTCACTTCATTGAAACGAATATTTACGATAAAATGGTAAGGGTTATCAAATTAGTTTAACAGGCCGTTTTTAGCTAATTCTCGACACTTCCCAAAATGTTT